TTGGTAGTGCTAATGAGATGGGTTTATGCAATTATAACATGCCTATGTATGAAAAGTGTCTCCTAGGTACAAACCAGCAGAAGGAGAAATTGTATCTGCGGGATGGCAGAACTGGAAAGCTTTATAGACATGCCTTATGATGACGAATCCACACTACATGACCAAAAGTTTGTGGACACCTGACCATCACACCAATATGTGGTTCTTCCCCAAACTGTTACCACAAAGTTGGAAGCACACAATTGTATATAATGTCTTTGTATGCTGTAGCACTACAATTTCCCTTCAGTGGAATTAAGAGGCCAGCATGACAATGCCCCTGTGTACAAAGAGAGCTCCATGAAGACATGGAGTGGAAGAACTCGAGTGTCCCTCACAGAGCCCTGACCTCAACCGCACTGAACACCTTTGGGATGAACTGGAACGCTGACTGCACCCCAGACCTCCTCACCCAACATCAGGGCCTGACCTCACTAATGCTCTTATAGCTGAATGATCACAAATCCCCACAGCCACGCTCCAAAATCTAGAGGAAAGCCTTCCCAGAAGAGTGGAGCTTATTATAACGGTAAAGAGGGCATAAATCTGGAATGGGATGTTCAGGAAGCACATGTGGACGTGATGGTCAGGTTTCCACAAACTTCTGGTCAGATATCGTGTAGTGTGATGAGTACCGCCTTATAATATAATGCTCAAATCACTGCTGTAATTGACAGATTAATTGGTAATCAATAGTAATTAGTATAAACTGCATTACTCCATCTGCTACCTGCCCTGCAAGAATAACTACCTCTCTCAAAAATGGCAGTGTGCAAATCTGGCCGGTTAGACGAGTGTGTGCTCCAAAACAATTGCAACAGTGCCTTGAGCATGTGTCAATACAAACCAAGTTATTACAGAGAATTCCCTTCCTTGCTGTGTTACAGTGGTGCTGTCCAGCCCTCAGTAAAGTGAATGAATTTCACCACAAGACATAACATGTAAACATGTGCAAACTTTAAACCGGTGGCAAAAACAGCATAGGATAGAAACCTAAACATACAGACCTGATCTGTTTTGCGGATACTGGATGTCAGATACAACAAACACATGGGTTAAATATTAATGAGGTTTAGCGCAACACAGACTTCAGTACACTTTCACCACCAAGCCTGTTTCCTGGCCATTGTCCAACTCCACCCTTTCTTTTATTGGCTAAGGAAAGGACTGGTTTAGACCTGCAGTGAGCCAACACTCCACTTGCAATACACACACACAGACACACACTTCTTCAATAGAGTTAACCTATGAACTGAGTGCTGTCACAATGTGAAATAAGGCATGAACACATACATACACACACACACACACACACACACACACACACACACACACACACACACACACACAC